CGGAGGGCTGGAAGTCCAGGTTTGTGCCATGCCTTGCTGTGGGAGCAGGAAGGTGGGACAAGGGGAAAGCGTGTCCACTGGGCTTCTRCATAAAGCTGCTCTCCCTTGGTACCCTTTTTCATTAGGCTGRTTTGCAGCAGCTGCATATTCCGTAATATAAGCCCTGTCTCTTGGGGATTAAGCGAGTGGTTGCGTTTGGAGCAGCTGCCTGTGTATGTCTTATCTGCTACAGAAAAAGAACATGTTGCTCCTCCTCTTTCGCCTGTTCTTATGTAGCACTGTTGCTTCCCTCCTCCTCTCTTTTCTCTCTGACCTCCTCACAGCTTCCCGCGGCTCTGCTCCGTGTTTGCCTCGGCTCTCCAGAAGACCCCAGCTGAGTGGCCAGCCCAGCCCAGGAGAGCGTTTCCCTGAGCCAGCGTTAGGCAGGGGACAAAGCAAAGGAAAACAAGCCGAGCTGGCCGGTGCCAGCAGCCCTTGTCCTGATGCTGAGCATAGTGCTTTGAGCGAGCCGGGCAGGGGAGGAACTTGCTTCGCAGGGAAAGGGGAAGGACAAAAGAAACTTGAAACTGGCTTCCCTCGTGGTGTGTCCTGCCCCCTCCCCCTGCACCCTGCCTGCTGAACGAAAGCACCTGAGGAACATGGGATTTGGTGCTTGAGGGAGGGGGTGCAGAGCTGGCGAGGGAGGAGAAAGGGAGTTGTGGCTTTGTGCTGGGTTTCATCAGAGCTCGTGGGGGTGGGAGCACAAGGAGCAAGGGCCTCTGATGCCAGCTGCCAACATGGCAGAAACCCTGCAGCTCCCAGTGCTGCGAGTCCCGGAGCAGCAGGTGGTGGAGGGCGGCCCTGCCTGGTCCAGCTCGTCCACCCCCACCCTGCGCAGGAGGCGCTTCAAGATGAGGCGGATGAAGAACGTGCAGGAGCAGAGCCTGGAGGCCRGCAGGTATCAGGACTCCCCTGCCTCCAGCAAGGAGTTCCTGCAGCTCCCATCCATTGAAATCACCCCCTCCAGTGATGAAGACACCCCCTGGTCCAACTGCTCCACACCCAGCGCCTCCCCGCGGCGCAAGCGCTTCCTGCTCCGGAAGTGGCTCCGTGTGAGAGAGAAGGAGGAGAACAGTGAGAGCAGGTAGGTTTTGGGCTCCTCTCCCTTCCCTACCTGCCAAGAGCCTATCCTAGAACAGGGCTAGGGCTTGCTGTCCAGCTGGAGCTCCTGTCCTGCCTCACCCYGGGGCCTTGTCCTGGCCTCGTGGCTGGAACAGGTAAAAGAGTTGATGGGGCTCACAGTGGCCTGATGCCCTGCACACAAACAGAACCCTTTCAGAAGGGGCACTGCTGGCATCCAGCTCTGGTGCTGGTTCTTACAAAAGCTTCTTGAACTTGGTGTCCCTGAGAAGAGCTTGTTTTGAGTGCGGGAAACAGCGTGCCCCTGTGCCCTGAATGGATGGGTGATCAGAAGGCTAGTTTGTTCCAAGGGCCTGATTTCTGCAGGGACCTTGACAACCACAAGTCCGCTGTGTTGAACCTGTTGTAGAAAGCAGAGGCAGGAAGGTGCCTTTCCGCACAGCTCACTCCTGTTGCTTGCCCGCCTTGCTCTGGGGCTGGTAGCCTGCAGGAAAGCCTTGTGAGGCTGCAGACCTGGAGAAGCCTGGCTGCCTTTTTGCATCTAGAGGTTCCAGCCTGCCTGCAAACTGTTGCTTGTRTAATACTTGTAAGTTCTGAATGGCCTGGCTAGTGCTGATTGTTGTTTGCCTACAGGCCCTCTCAAAGCTGGTGCCTGAGCCTAGGAGTGGTAGTAGAGGTGGCAGGTTGCTGGCAGAAGGCACCCAGTTGGCTTCAGGCTAGAGCAGCAGGAAGGTGCAAGTCGGTCATGCCTTTAACCTCATCCGTATCATTCTGAGAGTGGGTGATTCAGTGCATTTTGGAGCTTTCGGTTTCAGTAAGTCCTGTATTTCAGTTCTGGTCAGAGATCTGGAAGCAACTAACTTCTGTTAGAAACACAGCAAGCCACTACAGGAAGAGGTACATGAGTGTGTGTATTGAAATTGCCAATGCTTCTTTGCTCATTTGGWGCTTGTTTCTGAGCTCTCGCTGGTGTGAGGAATTGGGCAGCTCTGTAGAACTTACCTCATGGAAGAGATGAAGGAATTGCACTTGCTTCATGCTCTGCTTGTAGCTGGAGTTTGACTGAGGGTTCAGCACTGACAAACACAGTATAGACATAATTTTCCAGTGCAGGAAATTGTTTGCACAGAGTACTTTGTTTTTGGATGTTTAATCACRCTATTAATGCTTCCTTCCTAGCTTGTCTTTTAAACTGTATTAGATTTCTGGAGAAAGAAGCCGGTATGAACAATGTGTGAATACCCTGTGGTGTGACTTTGCGTCTTGTTGGTAKCCATTTTATTTTGTCTCCTAAAAGCAAAACTTGGGAATGTTTTGCTAGCTGGGCCTCTGTACTAAAGAATGCCTTCTGTATTTGGGTTACTCAGGAACGTCCGTAAGCACAAACAGCCCTTGATGTGGTACCTTTCCTGGTCTGAAATGTCCTAGTGCTTCAGTGATGCCTGGGAAAGGAATCTGCTGTTAATATTGTCTTTTTCCTGTTTGAATCTACAAGCCCCATTGAGGTCTTGAGGCTGTCGGAGGTTTYGTTTATTTTTGCTGCAGGGCTAATGTGTGAGGAGCCCTGGAGCGGCCTGTTGTGATTGCAGGTGTTGTGTGTGCCAAGTGCCTGTGATTCCTGGCAGCTTTTCTCTTACTGCATTTGTGCAATTATGATTTCAATATTTGTCATTGCTCATRCGGTTTAGGGTGATTAGTTGTCCAACAAAGGAGTACAATTATTGACTTGCCTAAAACAGCCAGGAGCTTGACAGCTGTTGGTCTTATCTAATCAGCAAATATTTACTGTGAGACCTCTTTATTTTATGTCTTGCACAGCATTGTGTCTGTTGAGGGCATTCAATAAATGCAGAAACCTCCACCTCGGTGTTCACTGAGTTGTGCTTTCCAGACTTGGGTTATCAGCTGAATGGGATATTGATGAAAGCAGTTGCCCTGGCACCTGTGAAGGTTGAGTTTTGAAGCTTGCTCTCCATTGGCAAAATGGATGCAGTGAGGGGCAGGTTACCTCCTGCTTTCACAAGCGCTTTCGGCTCTATTCCCCTGGGGAAGTGACTCAAAGGGAACTTTTTCAGTGAGTGAGAATTCTCTGGGGGCCACGTGGCTAAATTGTTCGTGCAAGCAAGCCTGGCTTGTGGCAACAGGGGATACTGAGGTGAAACGGTCGACTTGTCAGTGATTTAATAGTTAAAAGCCACGGTTAATCTCTAATTAAAACTCTGCAGCACTTTGTCATGCAGTCATGTTTGGAATTTGAACGGTTGCACGAGTTGAGAAGATCCAGAGGATATAGGAGGTGAAGTAATGTCCGTGGAGAATTCCAAGAGGCACACGGGCAGGCTCRCCCCGGGGCGCCCAAAGATCTGTCTCAGTTTGCGCTTTAAGTTGCTTAAATTGGGAGTGAGGTAAGAAGCTTGGTCTGCTGCTTTGAGTGGCTTTTGAAAACTTGTTGCCCTTTTCTGTAGATGAAAAGAATCGCCCAGTCTTTCTGAAAGCTTCCTTCTCTATTACTTAGCTGTGCAAATCTTATCTTTATGTCCTTAAGTTATCTGCAAAATACTACAATATAATCAGTATATTTTAATAGGTAATAAGTTTACTTAATCTTAAAGGACTCTCTGACTTAAAACAAAACTATATCTGTATCTAAAAAACTTTCTCTGATAATTTCTGCACTAATTTGACTGTTCTTATAACCTTACGTTATCTCCAGGATAACAAGAGTAACTGTACAGCAGTTTGAAGGGACATTGTCATCTTGAAATCTGGTCAATAGAAAATGAATTCAGTTGTAATAGTTTCTGGCATTTCAGCTGCCCTGTGTATTTTAAGCATCTTGTTGAACTACACAGCGTAATATCTAGAATGTGCAAATGATTTCTTTGTGCAAAAGGTCAAACACTCTTGTGGGAAGTTTCCCTGGAAAATAGCTGTGGTAAAGCAGAACGTATGCAGAGCACTATCACATGCGTGGGCAAATGGGAAAAATGAGTTTGCTCCTTAGTTTTTTTTCTTTCAGTTCTTGTGGTCTTGAGTATTAACTGGTGATGGTGAATAAAGTGTGGCAGCATCGCAACGTGTTGCTCTACCTCCTGTTAAATTTTAAGCCTTGGTTTGAAGGATTTTATGGGGAAGAAATTAACTGAGGGGTGGATGAGTACAAAGAGGTCTAAGGTTCATCTTGTATAACTGTCCCAAGGCAATGCCAGGTGCTGTGAAATACCTGATATTATCAAAAACAAATTCCTAGTATCTCCTCTGCAATCCAACCAGAACAAGCAGAGTTCTGTAGTTCATTTTTTAATGAGAAAATAATTATGAAAGCAGCCTCCTGAGCGGGGTGTATGTGTGGTGTGGGTCAGCACGCCCAGCGTGACGCGCTGGGTGCGCAGATACGGAGCGGAACGCACGCGTTGAAGGGTGACGAGTGACATCTGGCGGGCTCAGCCCGCAGCTCCCAGCGCCGTCGGGGAGCTGGGGCCGGCTGYGCTCAGCCTTAGTCGGGTGTCCTCTCCAGGAGCCGCACTCCTGCCCTCCTGCTAGAAGGGAGACTGCACCAGGGCTGTGTGTGGAGTATAGGAACACAGAGCAGTCCAAAGCACATGGAACGTGGATGAGTAGGCCCCTTCAGGCCTGCACAAGGCTCTGCTTTGAGGATATTTTGCTAAAGGCAAGGAGAGGAAGGCACAGAGAGAGCTGGCAGGACAGACTAACGTCTGTCACTGGCCTCTTATGGATTGCGTAGTTCCTATACAGTCAAAATACCCCCAAATGTCATGTGTGAACCTTTTTTTAAGTTTTTAACCCAGTGATTCATAGGTACCTATACAAATCTAACCTGTGTCTTCTCTCGTGTTGCAGCAGTCAGCAGAGCAGCCAGCAGAGCAGCCACGACGATGATTCATCCCGATTCCTGAGTCCCCGCTTGCGTGAGGACAGGTCAGTGTGCGGTCGGAACCGATAGTTGAGTCGTCTGTGGCTCCTCTCCTGAGCCTGAACTTGCTTCACTTCTGTATGTGAACTGGGAGCCTTGAACAGCAGCTTCCTTTTTATCTTGGGGCCAGCTTTTGCAGGCCTCAATAGCTTCCCTGCGTCCACTGCTGCGCCTGGCTTCCAGTTTCCACAGTTCACCTTGTTTTATTACTGTGTTAAAAAGCTCTGATAAGAGAGGGTGCCAGATGTTGCTTTTACTCGACTCTGTGGCATGCAGGATTGCAAGGAGCAGCATTATAGAGTTTCTGCTGCTTTCTGTCATGACATGGTCCTGCTGTGTTTCAGCTCTGCGGTTGGGAGAACATTATTGCACTTAAACTGCTTCTAAGGTCAGATCTGCCTTACTGAGTGTGCAGTAAGATGAACTCTTCCTGAGCTCAGGTTCCCTGTGGTGAAGCCAGAGGTCGATGGAGTAAGAACTGAGTAAAAGCAAAGTAGGTATGTGAGGGATTGAGTCACTTGAGGGAACATCCTGAACCTGGAGAGCTAATGAATATCCCTGCGGAGTGCTTGCCTTGGAATTAGCACTTGCTAGTTGTAGCTAACCTTTTACTCATATGTTTCACTGCAATTATCAGCCTTGCTGTGGAGCCTGGCACAATTGGCTAGAGGGGAGCAGTGTTTGCAAGCAGGACATAGGGAAGCTGACAGCAAAGCAAATGGGTACTTGGATCGTGTCTGGCTGTAATGTGGACTTGAGAGCAGGGAATGTGCCGTCTTCTCTTTGGTTGCACTTGATATTACGGGCAGAAGGAGGGACCCTGGGCTGTGCTCAGGAGTAGAGCAGAATGAGCAAAGCTCTGCACCCTCCTCGGTGCATCTGGCAAAGTGCTGAAAGCTCAAGAAGTGTCCTGGCCGACAGCAAGGGGATGCTGAGTGGCCTGGTTGCCTCTGGGATGGGAATAGGGAGGAGTGTGCAGGAGGGGGTTGAAATGTGTGCTAGGCACAGAGCTCTTTGCCGACCCGCCCTTGCGGTCCAAGATGGTGCACGGGGATGCAGCTGATGGAGGTGACTTCTATGTGTCATGCTTCGGAGGAGCCAGCTCCGTCTCAGAGGAGGTTCAGAACTCTGTCCTGCTGGTAAATACTGCTTGTGGCTTCAGCATGGTCTAGCAGCTCTGCACGTAGAGGTGGGAGCACTGCTGTCATGAGGCTCAGCCGTGGTCCAGAAGCTGTGCCTAGATGTCAGCAGTGAAGCAGGGCTGTCACCTGTGTGTGTCTTCTCTGAGGAAGAAGCTGCCCTTCTGCCAAGTCATGTAAGTTGGCTGTGTATGATGCATGGTGGCCCTCTATGCTAAGAGCCCTAAGAAGATTTTAGTTTGTCTTAAGGTGAGTATGCGTTTGGAGGCATTATGTGAGTTAGTGAGGCAGGCTAGAAAAGTTGGGTTTTCTGAAAGCCTGGGGCTCAACTTCCTGAGTGAGTCTGGATGAATCATTTAATCTTTCTCTGAAATTAGGAGAATTGCTGTATTACCTCACAGGAAAAGGGGGATGATCAATGAATGCCAGGTCTGTGATGCTGTAGGGGAGAAACCTTGGGGTTCTGAGGGATCAGACATGTGAGTGCAGGGAATGGCAGGAGCTGGGTGAGGAGGTGCTCTCTTGAGCCTGAGTTGTGTTGAGCTGGGCTGTAGGGCACAGGCTCCCCTTGCGTTCTTAGGAAGCAAACCTTTCAGAAGTAGGGGGGAGTGGAGGTTGCTCTGATGGCCGTGCCTGGGAAGGAGCTGCAAGGATAATGCTCTTTCTGGTTGCCAGTRTAGAATTGGGGGTGGTTAGCTGACTGTTGTTCCCAGCATACTGGATTTTGAGAGTTGCTGAAATRGAGTCCTTGGTAAGTAACACTCACTCCTTCAGCTCTGCTTCAGCCAGTAGCATGAGTGTTTTCAGTTCAGAGGAGACATTAGGATGTATCGTATTTAATCAGTACTGTTCATGGGCTTCTCTTTCTCATATGTACCTCCTTGGCCTGTCTTGGGYTGCCTCTGTGCAGTTTGCTGTGAGGTGCCGAGCCCTTGTTGGGCTTTGCRTTGCAGCAAAGCGGTTGGGACGTCCCCAAGCTTCCCGCAGGACACAGGGTCAGTGGGTGCTCGGAGACGTGCSTGCCTCTGGTGCTCACTGAGAGCTKAGCAGCTTTTCCTTCCCTCCTTGGGCTGGGTTTTGTGGGGAGCTGAGCCAGCTTTGGAAGTACCCATGTGGCCTAGCTGACCCCTACAACATGACCTGCGGTCAGCAGCGGCTGTGATGCAGCATCTCGCTGGGGGGGTGTTTTTCCTGCTTGTGTGTCTCACCAAGGCGCTTTTTGCTCAAGCACATGTTGCCTTGAGGTGTCTGCTGGCCGTTGAAAGCACGGTAGCTGGTTCAGATGGTGACTTTAGATCTGTTCTGCTTGCGTCTCCTTCCTCTTTGCGTCAAGTGGGGAGAAGGGGGGGCTTTCTGCGAGGGAAGTGTGGCCCTGCACCTGTACAGCCGGGCTGCTTGGGTGCTGGCAGCCYGGCTCCTGGCTGGCTGCTAGGCGAGGGTTAGTGCACAGGGGAAGACGGTCTTTGCTTAGGGCTGCAGCTGGTGGGGAAAGCTTTTGACCAGCAGGATTGYGTGGGCTTCCCTGGGGACACGGGCAGGTGAGGAATGGTGAAGAGGCTCTGGAACAGCTCGGTGCAGCATGAAGGGATGAGTTTTTGTCCTTATGCAGTTTTTAGAGGCCCTTGTTAACTGTGCACTCCTCAGCTGTTACTGAAACCCAGCTGCTCAGCACAAGCTGTTTCTCTGTTTTTCTCCCTCAAATCCAAGGGCAGCCATCTGAACGAGGTGTTTAAATCATTCTGAACTTGCTTGTTTAAATGTTTTCTTGTCTCTTCTTTTCCTGAGCTGACTGCAGTCTCACAGAAGTGTTGTTCTCAATGAACATCCCTGGTTAAATAAGCTTTTTCTAAATTCACAGCATATAAAGACATTATCATCCCTGCTCTGTGCTCTGAGTACTTTCTTTGGCCTGTGCAAGCATTTTCAGCAGGCTCCTTGAAGGTGAGCAGGCCTGTGCTTTTGTATTGGAGAACTGGGAAGGGGGATTTGCCTCAACCAGCGCTGCTCGCCTAGGCAGTGGTGATGATGAGGGTGTAGATTGGTRTCTTGGAGCAGAGAGCAGTGCTGCTCTTGGAGGAGGAGGAACTGAAGCCCCAGAGATGGAGTGAAGGGTTTAAGGTTTTACACTGGGCTGGAAGTGTAGGTAGGGAGAGGTCCCGGGCCTGGCAGATGCTTTGAGCCTTGACCCTGCCCAGTGTCACAAGACCCATGTAGGGAAGGCTTCAGCAGATCAGTGCTCTTTAGTCCTTAGACTAAGGTGTGTTGTTGAACCTCCTTGGGAATCAGCCCTGGAAGACCTTTTCCATAAGAGGTGAGAGTTGCCCCAGCCTTGCAGTGCTGTTTTCATGCCCTCCTATGCTAGCCCTTTAAATGCTAGGCCACTTCTCTGCAGTCTAAGCGCCTGCTCTTCCATTGCCAAAGCCCTCAAGTGCTCTCCTTCGAACAGCTATATCATTAACTCTTTCCCCTCAGCCACATGGTGCAGTGAGGAAGCAGCAGCACAGAAGCTCCTGCAACTTAGCCTTTCCACACCTCTCTATGCTCTTCTCCCTCCCGAGATCCCAATTCTGCCCAGAACAGGGGGAATAGGAGTAGAGATAATCCATGTGTCCTGCGAAAAGTGTCAGCAGGTGCTGGAGGCCTGGGCGCGAGTTGGRAAGTGGGAGGGCAGGGTGCTCTGTGGTGGCCTGGCCTGTGCACGGATGGTGTCCTGGTTCTCCGGACAGGAGAGGCACTGAGCAGGCAGACTCTGGCTTGTCTTCAGCTCAAGTGCAGCCTTAGGCCTTAGTCCTGGCCCTAAGAATTTTGACCCAGGTTATCAACCTCATTTTTTTTTTTTTTCTTGGTTACAACAACTTGTCAGTCTTTTTCTGTGGGTTGTGCATCTTGTCCTAAAGCAGCATCCCAATTGACAAATGTTTGAAGGCAGCTGTGCCTTTAAAATTGGATCTCCTCTGATGGAGGAAATCTGAGAAGAGAGCAAGGAGAGCAGTGCATCTTGCGCAGGGCGGCTCTTGGGAGATTTCCCCATCACTCTGCCTTAGCTGCCCAGTCACTGCTCCTTCCTTCTGAGGCCAGACTGCAGTAACTAAACCATCAGTGTCAGTGCAAGGCGTCCCAGAACCATCTCAGTTGTGGCACTGCATCTGTGCCCGGCGAGCTCTGAGGTTACTGCTCCGTGCCGCCTTCTGCCTGAAGCTGCTGTGTGTGGAGCCAAGCTGGGCCCCGTCTTCCTGCGGCTCAACGCCCTTCTGCTCTCTGACTGCTGGAGCAACAGTTTCTAGTTTGCTGGGGAGCACTCTGGTGCCTGGACAGACTTCCCTATCCCTGCAGATGACTGTAACCGTGTGAGTGCTCTCTCTGACCTCTGCATTTGTTTCCCTTCTCCTCCTTCCTTTCCTTTCTTTCCAACCATTTCTTTCTTGGCCTTTGCAGAGTATTTGTTGTGCATTTGGGTGATGAGATGGCAGCATGCGCCTCCCTGCTGCATCATCCATTGTAGCAAGGTCGGGTGTTAGAATTGGTACTAACAAGGTCCCCAAGCTGTCCTGCTAYGGCACCTCTCCTGGCATCCTCTCCCTTTGCTGCTTCCATCTAATGCTTTTCCCCAAGCTTTTTCCAAGTCTGCATGGGAAAAGAGCAGCTTTTAGATTCCTCCTTTCAAAACAGTGCTCAAGAAGGAGGCAGGAGCACTTGGAAGTTTTCCAGCTTTCTGATGCTGCTGATCTTTCTCCTTCCTGCAAGTATTTCTCCCTCTCTTAAGACTCTGTAGGTGTTCAGTCTTTGCCTTCTAACAGGGAGGAGCTTTTCTCCTCCCTCATGTTCCAGGGCTCCCGGTTGCTCTCCTGCTCTGCAGCAGCATGGACGCAGTTCCCCAGCTCTGCCGGGGCCGGCAGGCTGGGCCCTTGCCTGTGGCAGGCAGCCCGTGGGCGCCTCGGAGAGCAGGAGCGGTCACGCTGTGCAGATGCTGTTGCCTTCGTAGAGGATTTGGCACTTTGTCCCTCCTGCCTCATTGTTCCTGGGATCAGTACACCTATATACTAAGGTGTATAAGTAACACTAATGTTACTTATTCCTGACTTTCTGGTATYATCCATAGCCATTCTTTTCTCCTGACACTTTCTGTTGTGTTTCTAGATTTTCCCCACTGGTTTTCTCAGTAATGGGCTCTCTCAGGGAGGCCCGAGTTGCTGTTGCTGCTGCCCACGTGCCTGCTGATGCTCCTAACCCCAGGCATCAGAGGAGATGCATATACATGCCTGTGTATCCTGTATGCTAAGACTGGCCTTCCACAAGYATTGTGTGTCCCTATATTTTGTCTATAGGTGCTTCTTGCAAAGGTGGCTTGCTTTACCTTGTGCTGCTTGTTTGCATTGGGTGGCAGCACAATAGTGATGCCAGGTGGGTTCTGGTGCYGCTAAGGATGGGCTGGCAGAACTCTGTGCAAGAAGCGAGTGGCTGCTGAACATGCAGCGGGAGCCGTGCGAGCCGCRCTGTGCTCCTCCGTGAGTAAGCACTTTGTGCCCTCGGAGGCTGCCGGAGCCCTGCAGTGTCGTCCCCCGCCTCACTGCCGTGGCTCACGTGGGCTTTGCGGGAGCCTCCGCGGGGTCCCCACAGCCGCGGGCCCGTAGTGCTCCAGGTCCCTTGCCGTAGGGCAGCTGCGGTGCCGCTGCATGGGCCGCTGAAGTCAGCGCGCGCCGCCAATGAGGGCGGGCAGCCGCGCGGCCCCGGGGCTGCGGCGCATCCGCCGGCAGCCGCAGTGCCGCCGCTTTCGCCCAGCCCCTGGCAGCCGCCGCGCCTGGCTCAGGCCACTAATTCTGAGTGCTGCTCCGAGGTGAGTGTTCTCAGGAGGGCACAAGTGATGAGCACCCACCTTGCTGCTTTTCTCTGCACGTGTAAATCTCTCGGTTTAGCTCTTCTCTTTTGTTTTGTGCACCGTTGCTTATCCACCTGTCTGGCTGCCCCCTTCATTCATTCATTCCTGCTTTCCTTCTAGAAGCTGCACTGCCTTCCCTGCTCCTCACCCTGTACCCGATCCCTGTCCTTTCCCCATGTGCTGTCCAAGACCCCTCTCCTGGTCCCTTTGGGTTTCAAAGCGCCCAAGTGTGGTTCCTTTGGTGGCTCCCCATGCTGGGCTGGGCATTAGGAGCAGCGTGTGCTCAGGGAGGGCAGCTTGTCCCTGGGCTCCCTGCTCAGCCCTGGCTTTGGAGGGAGCCAGGGGCTCCCTGTGCAGCCTCCCGTCAGCTAGTGGATGAGGATGGCAGCTCCGGCCACTACTTGGGTCTGGGGCCAGGTTCCAGGCCCCACTTTGGATGGGGATCATCAGGCTGGGAAGCTTTTGCCCTCCCTGAAGTTAGCTGGGCAAGCCTGGGGCGGCTGGCTTGCAGATTATTTTCTTCTTGTTCTCATGCTCCGTTTGAACTGTATATTGTCTTCTGCTCATCATCACTTTTTGACTCTTGCTTTCTCCTCCCTTTCTTCTCCTTCATCCTTCTTGCTTACTGATAGGCCAAGCAGAAAGCATGGAGACGTCTGATATGGCGACAGCAAAGGTAGGATGGAAATGCTGCCGGCCTCACTGTGCGTAAGTGGTTTCGCTTGGCAACTTTTTTCTCTATTACTCTCTCTACTTTCTCAYGGCCCCCTGCTCTTCAGGCACGGAGTGGTGCTAGTGCTGGGGTTGGGAAAGGGATTCCAGTTCCCGTAGGAAGTTACGCTGTGGCCACACTGCTTATGTTGCTGTCCTCTTCCTGTCCCACGATGTTTGTGGCCAGGCTGGGGTGGGCAGGAGAGCAGCAGAGGGACTGGTGGCACCTCGCTTCCTTCAGAGTYGGGATGGTGACGAGCCTGCTTGGCTGTACTCTGAGCAAGTGACACTAGAGGGTGCTTGCGGGGCAGCATTCCCCTCCCTGCAACTGCCCTGGGGAGCACAAGCAGTGTTTCAGCAGCCTCATTCATTATTCAGCCTTTCTCTTGGAAAGGGTCATAAGGGAGCTGCAAGTGAGCAAGGAATGGGGGCGTGGAGGGGCCCCATCCTGCTCTGCGGGGTGTTTGCAGCTTGGCTCTTACCCGGCCCTATGTTGTGCTGCTTCGCTGGGAGCTGGCAGAGTGGCCAGGGGGTTGGCTGCACTGGCACAGGCTGCCCTGTGCCTTTGGGAAGGTGGGATCACACTGGTTATCCTGTGCGCTCTTCAGCTCCTTGCTCACTGCGAGCCTTACAGCTTTAGTGTTTGAGAAGATGAAAACATCCATCAGGAATGCCAGAGGTCAGTGGTGTAAGAGCAAACTGAAAACAACCCTCATTTTGACTGTGGCAGTTTGCAACTTTGGGGGAGTTCATTCTTTCTGTGTGGGGAAAAAAAAGGTATTTCTAAAGACAGCCAAGTTGCTTCAACTTCTTTGCATAGATTCTTYTCTTAAAGGAAAACGTGATCTGAAGCTGTGCTAAAGCGATATTTTAATGTGAATGTGAAGAAAACCTAATTATCTTTTCCTGTAAAATAAAAYTTTAGAGTGGAAAATTGAGTCCAATTTGAGCTGTCTAGAGCAGACAGCTTAAACTCTTTGATATGAACAGTCATGGAAATGCAGACTGATTTCCTTGGACTTGTAGCATGACAAATGATGCTTGGTCTCATAGTCTCCTCTGAATCCCACATTTTTGTGATGTGTTTTCCTGTTTGGACCAGCTTGGCCTTTGTTGCCCTGAGAGGGTCAGTGGATGCAGCAGCAGGATGTTGTTTCCTTCCACTGTGGCTGCCTTTCCTGCCGAGACACCTCTGAGGGGATCTCAAGAACTGGCATTTCCTGACAAATCAATGAATGGTCCCAATTTAGCACTTACTTTCCCAGGGAGGTGCAGCAAACAGTTCAGCTGCACTGTTCAGTGTCTTGGAGCTTTCGTAAAGAATATTGCCTTGCTTTTTACTAGAGAGCACCAGCTCAGATTGGTGTTGTTGGAGAAGGGATTTTGGAATGTATAAGGGAAGAAGGAAAACAGTGTAATACAAAATAGCAGACAAATCTCTTTTTTGCTAATTCCTTTTTTCCTGCTGCTCCTTCTCCAGTCCGTGTTCAGTTCAGCTGAAGAAGCGRTGCCTACCTCTTCCCCAGTGCTGTTTTTAGTGCTGGGGTGCACTGCTGGGCTTCCGCATCCTGCCTGGCAGTGGAAGCAGCTAGAAACCACAAGGGACTGTCTTGGTGGTATTTTTGCTCTGGACCAGCAGTATTCAGAACGTCACTGGCAGGAGGCCAGTGCCAAATCTTATTTAATCTTGGTTGAAGTTGGTGGGAGTCTTGCATGGGTCGAGGGGAGGCACCCTGTAGGTTTAGCTGACTGTAACGTATTGCTCATGTTCTAAAAACAGTATGCTTGCATCACGTTTTTTTCCAAATTCTATTATTCTTACCGTTGACATGGAAAAGGAATTTCCCAAAGCAACAATGCCTTGGAAAAGCTCTTTCACATGCTGAACATGATCATCCAAGGTCTGTCCCCCACATTCACACTTGGCTAATGCAAGCAATAGCCCAGCAGCTTATTGCAGTGGTGTGATTGGGGCCTCAAGCCCCAGTTCAGCTGCTTTTGCCGTTTTCTTTTCTGGTGGGRTAGTTGCTCAGCACAGAGTAGGTAGATAATGTATCTGGATTTCACCTTATGTGACTCAAAGTATTCTTAGTGCTKTGGAGGTGGGCAGGGTATCAGTGCATAACCTTTCTGCATATCTGCATCTGCTCCCCTGCTGCAACTTGCACATCCCTTTTCCCCTCTGGAGCGGCYGTGCTGGGGACAAAGGGCCTGTCCCTCGCAGCCCTAGATGGCAGCTGGAGCTGGCAGGTGGATGCGGAGCTGGGCCCGTAACTAGCAGTGCCAGCAGCATCGCCAGCCCAGGGGGTGATGCACGGCCCCTTCGGCRGGCCCCGGCGGTGAGGAGTTGGAGAGCAGATCCCAGCTGCACTGCACCAGAGATGCCTTTGCCTGCCCGTGTCCCACGTGTTTTCTCCTACCTGGTCTGCCTCCTTTGATAATTGCCTGGCCTACAAGTTGCCAAGGCAGTACTTGGCTGGGTGCACGCATCCCTGATACTTGTCTTGCCCGCGCTTTGATTTCCGAACATGTGCCTCTGCAGCACTGCTCTGTCCCAGATGAGCTAAGCATGCAGCTCTGCTGACCCATTTTAGAGCAGTGCAATTTGCTTCCCTCTGACAACCTGCAGGCCGTGGCTGCCGAGTGCCTCCTGGAAGAGGAAATAGTTTGGAAACTGAGATGAGGTGAAATGCGATGTCTCATGTAGGCTGAACCTGGTATGGGCTGGATGTGGGGTGAGAGAGATGAGTTGGACTTTTCTTACCATGCTGCTTGTAACATGATTTACCAATACATGTTTAATGTGAGCTTAAGGCCAAAGTGTTAATGCTTTTGTTTAGAAATAAACAGGCCTGTATGTGTTGATGTTGAAAACATACCTCCAAGCTTTGCCTTCCTGCACTTGTACACCTCTCTGCCAGCACAGGGTACTGTCTAGGTCCCCAGTTCCTCTGACAGACTGGGTCCTGGATGATGGTTCCCCATCACATGCAATTCAGTTTTTTTTTTTTTTTTTTTGCTTCTAAAGCAGCCACCTCAGCATTTTAGTATTAAATAACACACCAAGAAAGAGTGTTTGGAAGCTGGTTAGAGGAGTCAGCACAGAAGTGAGTTAGTGTTGTGTCTTTGCCTTCCACGAAGGCATTGCTGCACTGTCAGTTGGATAGGTTTGCCAGCTTTGGCTMTTCTCCAGCGATTCTGATTTTCAGAAGCTGCCCTGCTTCACCCTTCACCCCGCTTATTGAAAAGCCAGTGCATGGTGCTGCTTGCACAGGCACACTCACACATGTTTCCACCCCACTTTGTGCCACCATCTGTTTTGGTTGTGCAGGGGTCCAGCCCTGGCCATGATGTGCAGCAGAGCCGGCACCAGTTCAAAACAAGAAGTAGCTTGAACAGAAGTGGGGAGGGGTCTCTCTCTTTTCCCCTTGCTCTGCTCTCAGCAGCAGTGTTGCTGCTGCCCTCCCTGGGCATGCCCCATTGCCCTGCTGCTTGTGTAGAGCTTTTGGTACTAAGAGCAGGGATGCTCAGAGCCTCCTCCCTCGGCTGAGCGTGTCATGCAGCTCCCTCCCGGGCACTTCAGGGGTGCCTTTCGTAGGCGGAGGCTGCCCTGGAGGCTGGTGGGGGCCCTGTGCCCCCGAGCCCGCCCTGCGTAGCCTCCCGGGCTGCGCCTTCACGCGCCCCCTCGGCCGCGCGGGGCTGTCCGGGGGCGGTGCGGGCGGCGG